CTGCTCGAGCAACAGCAAGCAGCTCTTCTGGGGCCAGGGGAATGCGTGAAGGCGCCCGATCTATTCTCCCATCATCCATCAATGACGCTGAAGAGTGCGAAGAGTGCGTATAGCGCATATACCACCAATAGGAATGCGGGTAAGCGTCGGATCAGGCCCAATTGGGCTTCATAAGCTTTAGGTTGGCTTATGCTCAGGCTTGGGCTTAGGCTTATGCTTAGGCTTAGGCTTAGGCTTAGGCTTAGGCTTAGGCTCAGATTTAGGTTAGGCTTAGGCTTAGGCTTAGGTTAGGCTTAGGCTTAGGCTTAGGCTTAGGCTTAGGTTTAGGTTAGGCTTAGGCTTAGGCTTAGGTTAGGCTTAGGCTTAGGCTTAGGCTTAGGCTTAGGCTTAGGCTTAGGCTTGGGCTTGGGCTTAAGCTTAGGCTTAGAATTTGGCTTATTACTCAGGATTTTACCTCGTTTTAGGCTCACGCGCTGCCCTAATCACTGAATGTTCATCGAATTCCTCCTCTGAACGGGGCCGAAAGACGATATTGAGGTAATTTTTATTTTTCCTAAAGTAGACCCCGGTCCAGGACCAGCTCGAACTGCTCGGACGAGGAGAACTACGCGACGTTGTACGACTACCTTGAGGACCGTTCCGTCCAATCCATCCAATCCGCCCAGTCTGTACTTGTTGCGCAGATCGATACGGCTGGTGCGAGACTGCAGGTTCGTCGGAAGTACATTAAAACTTTAGCCAGACAAAAACTCATAAATTTCTTCAATTTAGCTCCGAAAATCTGGCGCGAGTCTGCTGATGCCAGAAAATGCGGTGGACTCCCAGAAGACGGTCTACATTGCGGTCAGCGAGCAGCCGGGCGATCGGCCGAAATTGCCGCGTGAGTTGTTGTACCTCGCAGTCTTGTTTTTCTTGTGCAGCTCTAAATCTCATAGTTTTCTTAGAAAGAGCTGGTTTTTTCGCCCAAAAATTCGACCTTTCAGTGGGCGACGTGGCCATCTCGCCGGTCGTGACGGTAGGAGAAGCGGAATGGGAGGGAGATCCGGAAAGTCGAACACTTCTCCGTCCTGCCGTCCTGTCGTTCCGGCATTGTGCAGCAACATTCCCGCGTGATAACTGGACCTTCTCGGTCTGGGCTGACGATGGTTTTGGGTGGAAACAGGTACGGTAGGCTTGGTTACGGTATAGAACTTCGAGCAACTTTCTAACTGTTTTGCAAGTGCAAAAACTTTGCAAATACGCCCCCACCACCCCCCAACATCGCGAAAGACCCTAAAAACCTCTAATTTAGGTGGTCCGAGTGGGTGATGAAAATCTGAATAGCCCCGTCCACGTGCATCTGGAAGCACCGTCGGCTGATCGGGTCGGCTATGTCCATCTGATGACCGAACATTTTGGAAGGTTTGCAGCGACTTGCTCGGCCCTTTAAAAGTCTTTCAGGTTTATGCTTGTGGGAAGAGCAAGACGTGCATCCGTGCCACCCGGAAAACGTGTCCACCTGGCGTGTTTCGGGCCGGCTAACCCCGGGAAGGACGACTTTGAGCTGAGGGTATGGATTTGTCAAATTCAGATCAATCAACCGGCCGGAAACCAGTAAAAACCGCGTTGTTAGGTGTACTGCGTACCCGAGACCGGTGCCGGGATGGAGGCGGTTGGACGTCAAGAAGCGGGAGCTGCTCCGCTGGCCGTTTCCGGTCACTTCATTTTGCAACCAGCCGGCCCTCTATGCTTCTGCGTTGAGGAAATTGGGGCCGGATTCTCGCAAAAGGGATCGCCTGTTGTTGTAAGTTGTTTTTTTTTGTTTTTTAAGGTGCATTTTTGCATCAGCTTAGGCTAAGACTAATGCTTAGGCTTAGTCTTGACTTCGTTTTCCAAGCTCCTCGACTAATCGTTTTCTCTATTCCAGGAAATCCCGGCCAGCCACCATCAATGGTGCGCCCAAAACGGCTTGCACTGCAGCATCCCTATCGAAAACCGCGACCGAAGACGACCCGAGGACTTTAGCTGTAAGTTCCAGATAAAGCTTCAGCCCAAACCCACAAAATTCTAGGCCGTCTGGTCGTCTACCAAAAGTCGAACAACGCCGAGCGGCATGTCTTGAATGTACAGCTGGAGAATCCGGCTCGACCAGCATTGCTTGATGAAACCGATAAGGTGGGAATTTTTGGAAAAGCAGATTATAATCAATTAAAGGGACCGTTATAAAATATTTCGAAATATTTGTCCAATATTAGGTGGTCGACGTCAATTTCCAATTGCCGGGAGAGGTGAAGGAGGCTCTTGCTCTTCTACTCGATCCACCCACCGACCCGGCCAGGGACTGGCGAGGACTAGCTGCAAAGCTGAAACTCGACAAATACCTCCAGGTAATCTATAACCCAAAAACATAAACCATACTTTCAGTACTTTGCGACAAGACCCGGCCAATCTCCCACTTGCCTCCTTCTCAGTCTATGGGAAGCCGTCGAGATCGACTCGCTGAGGGCTGTTCATGATCTTCTACAAACCCTTCGAGTCATGGGGCGACCCGACGCCGTTCTTCTCCTCGAACAAGTTCTTCTACCCCCCGTCTCATCCCCAATCTCCCCACAACCACCCGTTTTCCACTATAATTCCTCTTCGTCTTACTCCAGATAGTTTTCAAAATCTTTCTTGAGCTTCTAAAGCTTATCATTCGGGGTTAAAGCCGAGTTTTGTGCTACCGCTCGCAATGAAATGAGAGCAGAGCTTAAGCGTGTAACGAGGAGCCCGACGTCGTCTACGTTCCACTCCTCTGAACGCACCAAACCCCTGCAATCACGACGTTCTCGAAAGCTCCCCGTAACTCTGATCTGACTGCCAAGATTCTCTTTTTACCCTCGGTTTTGGCTCTTTTTGGCCCCCTTCTTCTTAGGGCCCCTTTCTTTTTTTTTTTTTTTTATTTTTTATTTTTTTTTAAAAAATTTTTTTTTTTTTTTATTTTTTTTTAAAATTTTATATTAATTTTTTTTTTTTTTTTTTAAACCAATTTTTTTTTTAATTTTAAATATTAAAAATTTTTTTTTTTTTTTTTTTTTTTTTTTTTTTTTTTTTTTTTTTTTTTTTTTTTTTTTTTTTAATAATAAAAAAAAAAATAATTTTTTTATTTTTAAATTTTATTTTTTTTTTTAAATTTTTTTTCCCCCCCCCCATTAAAATAAACTTTAAAAAAAATAATTATTTTTTTTTTTTAAATATACCTTTTTTTTTTTTTTTTTTTTTTTTTTTTTTTTTATTTTTTTTTTTTTTTTTTTTTTTTTTTTTTTTTTTAAAAAAAAAAAAAAAAAAGGTTTGGGGGAGGGTGGTTCCCCGGCCCGGGGGGGGCCCCCCCCTTTTGTGTGGGGGGGGGGCGCGCCGCGCCCGGTTCTGCCTCCTGGGCTCGTTTGCCCCGAAATCTGCTTCCCAGCGTGCTCCCCCACCAAAATACTGTGATATCCCAACAGCCTGTGCCAATATTTCGTATTTCAAAGCCAAAAAGTATTTCACCGAATCCTGTATTTCTTTAAAAACATCGACCGCGATAAACTGCGGATACCCCATAGCCGCCTCCACCTACTGTATCTCGGCTGTTCTTTGGCCTGCAGGGATGTAAAGTATACCAAAATACTCGGCAAAGCAAGACGAACATTTTGGGATACTTTACAGGCCTGTAGCCCCAGGGGAAAGTCGTGATACAATAGTTGGGAGTCCGCCGGGGGGTATCTGCAGTCTTACCCCTCCCACCAATAGTCAGTGCTATTTTATGGTCGCCGCAAAACCGGTAATTGTGTGTAGAATAGTCCCGAATTTATATTTTTAATGTCTTAAACTGTGCAGCAATAATCCCCCGCCGCGGCTGCCTTGTATTTATTCCCCCATTGCTCCAAATACCATTATTTTTTTGATTGCTACGATTTTGTGCTGTGCTGCTGGCGTGAAAATAGAAATGATAAAGTATTAAAGTATAAAGCGAAGCCGAAGTATACATATGGAAACACAAATAGACGCACAACACCGGTTATTTCTCTGAATCCTCTTTTGGGTCAAGCGCGCTAAACAATAGAGTGTGAGAGCATTTTTTAATTTACGAAAATACCTCAATTTTGCAAATTTGGGGCTAATCAACAACCCAGGTTCTTTCGCATTATCGGGGGGGGCATTATCGTAATTTTTCCTAATAGTCCCGAAATTCCTAGTAATCTATCCATAAACGTTTTAATAGTTTCTTTACTAAACAGGAATTATTTTCCAAGTGGAAAAACTATACAAAAAAAACTTCGAAATTTTTAAATTTTTTGTCGAAAGTCGGCCATTTTGGAGGAAAAAAAGCGATTTTTGTAGTTTTTCCATAAAATTCGTAAAGTACGCTTAGGAATAGTAGTAAAAATAAGTCCTAAAACGCTTCCGCTATCTCTACATTTGAAAAATAGGATCGTGAGGAAAAAGAGGTGAAAGTACCGACAGCACATCTACAAACTCCCGAATGCAAGTCGTAGAAACCATTTCAAAAAATTAGAATCCTATGAATTGCATGCCACTTTACATGGGTTCTCCCAAGTATAAAAGTAAAACGTTCGCCCCCGGCTTTCATTTCTATTTTGTTGTAAAAGGAGCGCCAACTATATTCCGTCGAAAATATGGATACCCGTGGGTTTACCAGGCGATTTCCATGATTTATGGCCGTTTTGCAGTTTTCTTGGCCAGCTTAGCGATGTGGTGCTTGTTCCCCGTCTTGGCCGTCGTACTCGTTCTTGTCTTGAAGAAGAAGAAGAAGAAGAAGAGGAAGTCGGGAAAGGCGGGAAGGGCGGGAAAGGTGTGTTTAATGTTATGAACCACTACTTGGAACAAGAAAATTGTTTTTTATGGAAAATAGCTATTTTTCGCAAATCGACGCAGTTGCTCTTCTCTCCTCTTTTGAGGTCTTACCATTGTAATTTGCCGTTTTTTAGGTTGGGGGCCTAGCCTCTACTGAAGCGGGCCTGAAATCCACCGCGAAAAAGGGCATGCCATCAGTGCAGAGCCCGTCAGCTGCTGGTGCTCCGGCCACACCCGTCCTCAGCAAGGTACCTCCCCGCTTTCTCAGCACCAATCCCCCACATCTTCTAGTCGAACGAACAGCGCGCCGCCGCCGAGCAGGAGATGAACAAGCTGCTAGAGTATTGCGCCAAATTTCTACCCCCTACCCAAGCATTTCAGTGAGAAGAGCAAGAGCCACCCCATCGAGCAGTCCAAGGAGAAGCCCGAAAAGCCGGCTGCCAAGTACGAATTATTTGTTTGGCGGGATATTTTATGCACGTTCAGCCCCCGAATGTTCATCCCCGCCATGCCGAACGAGGGCGATCCGACGAGGACGCAGACCGAGGACGAGGGAACGAAGGCCTGAACACAGATCGCTGCTGCCGCATCAAGCCATTTGTCATCGACCGAATAAGCCCCGCGCACAAGCGGTCTCTTAACGTTCATGTAATAAAAATTGTTTCGTGATCTTGTCTCTCCCTTTATGCTGTGTACCTTATATACCCGAATCATGAAAAATAACCTGAAGACTGGATATATAGCCGCCTTATCTTCTTCTATCGATATAATCCCGCTAATTTGACTATGCTTTTCCAGATTCCACCGAGAAACACGAGAAATGGCAAAAAATGAACTATTATGACCAGAAATAGGCAACAACATGTATTTATGTCGAAAAAAGTGGTTGATGCCCCGAATCTCGTGTTTTTGTTCATATTGCTAATTTGAGATTAGGTAATTTATTATAGCTTTATGTAACTTTCGGTGATTGAATATTGCGTTAGGGACTTCCATAAGCTTTTCCCTGACCAGTGCAGCCAGTGTCACCTGTGCGTATGCGTACGCCCCCGCGAAGGGACCACGCGTGCTGTATCTCAGGCAAGAAACAAAAAATACCACATTTCATAGTATTTTAAATTATCTAACTTCATTTCTTCCAAAAAAGATGCTAGCCGACGTGATGCTCCGGCCGTTCCGTTCCTTTCCCTTTCGTAACCGTTTCGCCGAGAGACGCAAAAGATCCATTCAAAAATATACGTAAATTTATTCCCCAGACCTTTTTTTATTTTTTGAGCTATATCCTATTCCTCGATCTCACCTTTTTCAGTTATGCCGTTTTCGATCGAATCGGTGGACCGGGCCGTCGCCTCGATATCAAACTTCAAGGTGCCGCGGACCGAGGAAGAGTTCGTCGTTTTTTTGTTCGTGTAAATTTTTCTTAGCCCGGAAATCAGCGTGCGTCAAGAAGACCTAAAGCGGTGCCTCATCAATTTTAAGGTTTCGCAGGCCGAGGAGGTATGCAACTTCTTTCTGTATTCGACCCTCTTGTTTAGGAGCGTCGGCTGGAAACCACATCGAAACGCCTAGAAAGCGAAATCGCCGCCTCCAAAGAATTCGTAGACCAGCTCGACCAAAGGGTTCGTTGATGACGCCAGTACGTATTTTATATTTTTAGATTGCATTGAAGGAAGAAGATCTGGAACACATCAATCGGCTTCTGCGCGATGCAGAGCAGGCGGGGGCCCAACAAGACTCGGCACTTCTGAAGAAGACGTATGACGAAATTGGGACCGAGTTTGGTGACGATACGGAAAACTAAAACTGAATTCCGTAAATTTTCGACCCTTCGCATCTAAGCTTATGTTGTGCCTCTGATCTCCATGTATGTTTAATGATAAATATGACAACTCGCAACTAATTCTTGAGAAGTACAGACTTATGAGGTAGATTTCCTCGTCATATCAAATCGTAGTGCGTGGTTTTTTAAGTGGCTATTGGCCGGTTCAGAAAATGGTTTCGGAATTGGGCGGCTCTTCTAATCGACGGGAGGAGGAGAAAGAACGGTTTGTTTCCATTTGCCGATATCTATTACGCCAAGCGATAACTAAATATAAATAACTAATTTTTACTTCTGAGCAGCTGGCTATTTTTAGACTTCATGAAGAAATCAGCGCCCAAGAGCGTGAGATCTACGATCGTCAGATTCGACTCTGGGGTATGGAGGCGCAGAATAAGTTCGTTTTCCGTTCTGCCTGTTACCCTTTGTTTTTCAGGCTGCGAAATGCTTCCGTGCTGGTCATCGGCCTTTCTGGGCTCGGCGCCGAGATTGTCAAAAATTTGATGCTCGCAGGTCTGAACGCCTTGACGATCATGGACGACAAAAAGGTGATCGGCATCATCTTTCGGTAATATTTATTAAGGCCACCGCCGATGACAAGAAGGCCAACTTCTTGCTGCCGGATGCTGACTACGCCGGACAAAACGTAATTTTTTGAAGGCCTTGGTTTACCTGTGTTTAGCGAGCCATGGCCAGTGCGGAACGTGCGTCGGCGCTGAACCCAATGGTGAAGCTGAATGCGATCCCCGAGGGAGTGCAGCAGCACGGTTTGGCGCATCGCTAACGATTTGTAAAGATCGTTGTATAGGCAAAGAGACATGGAAACAGTACAGCCTGGTCATCTTGTGCGACCAGGGCTTCGAAGAGAGCTGCCGTGTTGATGAGGAATGCCGTGACCTCGGTGTCAGATTCATGTGTGGCGCTGTGTTCGGCGGGGCTGGCTATTCGTTTTTCGACTTCGATGGTCACGATTTTCTTGTGTGGGTTTTTATAAAATATATTTAATATATAATTATTTAATTCCATCAAACCCTCTACTTTCAGCTGTGTAAATGCCTTTTCAGACAAATCAAAAACATCCCGTATGACGATTTGGAGGGCGATGACGGGAATAAAATCGACGACGAGATGACCACCATTGAAGAGGATCGATTCGAGAAAAAGGTTCGAATTCATCCGTAAAACTCGGCTTATTCGGCTCAGAAATTCTCGTACGCGCCGTTGCGTGACGCATTTTCTGTCGACTGGACAGCGAAGAAGTACATCCGCAAAGTCTCGCGATATCTACCCCAAATGTACTACCCGATCAAAGGTATTTATTGTCTGGTTTTTACCCTGAAAATTCGTATTTCAGCTTGCATTGCCCAATTGGGTAAGGGTGACTTCACGGACGCGGCTCAGTTCAAAGACTCTTGGTTGAGGGAAGTCGAGGCTGCCGGTCAGAGCGCTTCTCGCTTCACCTATGAAGATGACGATTTCGAGACGTAAGCTTTCATTTTCCCCCACACCTTGTGGTTCTTTAGGTTCTTTGGCGCCCAGATGTCGCCGGTATGTGCGATCGTCGGCGGAATTATGGGCCAAGAAACTATCAAGGTATTTCAGATTGTCAGTTATTGGAAGCTCTATTTTCCAGGCAATTGCCGAGGATCAACATCCGCTTCGGAACCTCTTCACATACACGATGGTGGATACCGTTGGAATGGTCACGCTTCTGCCGCCCGCATAAATTTTCGTTTCATTCCAGAGTTCATGAGAATAACTTACCCGATTTGTTGATCAATCGTTCGGCCTACTTCTGATCTCGCGATCCTCATCGAGTTACCGTTTTGTTATGTTTGTAAACCTATCAGTCGGCCCGGTTTCGCTTTGGAAATAAACTATTCGGATTTGTGGAGGCGAGTTTTCGGCAGGGAGGCACATAAGCTTTTTATCGTCCTATATCATGTGGGCATTCATTTACGGGTCCGGAATAAATACAAAATGAGCGATTCGGGCGGCGGCTTTGGGAACTGCAAGGCCAGCCAGGAACATTCACAAGCAGAAAAAAATGGAAGACAACAAACACAATCACATCGATCGAATACAAGGGATGAAGCTCGCGGATACGGCTGGAGCGGAGATTTTATGGCTACCGAAGGTGCAGAGTATTTTGCGAAATAGCCTCCAAAAATAACCTTGAAAAGAATGGAAACAATGGCTTATCTTGGCTATGACTGGAGGTACCGGGATCAAGCGACTAGATTCTAGGACTCGCAAAAGAAACACTTGAATTACAGCGGCGTATAGCTACAACTAGAGACGAATTGTGCTCATAATGCAGAAAAATGCGCTATGTTTGGGCAATCAATGGGGGATCGAACCGTATTTGGGGGCGGCTTTTGACATGGAAGCACTAGCGGACAATCATCTCGTGCACAAGGAAATTGAGGTGAGTTCGTATTATGTTCGTCGTATTTGTCGTCGTCGATTAGAGCAGATACGTCTCGCGCACCTCTCCAATAATGGCCAGCGCCTTGTGCAGAGACTGTAAAATAAAGATAAGATAAAGTTCGAAGCGCAAATGTCAAACCTCGAGCATCACCGAGGTGTCCTTGCGCTTCTGGGCCATAAACTCGTTTTCGCTGAGCAGCTCTTCAAGGCGAGTCGGATCGTAGAGGGTGCGGACCAACTCGGATTGCAAATTGTCCTAAATGGATCAATAAGATAAGAGATAATAAGAGACAGTTGTCCTAAATGGATCAATAAGAGACAGTTGCGCAGCAGACCCAAATGCTTAGAAAAAATTATTGAAACCTACCCTAACAAAGTTAACCATGTTGTGCATGATGGCCTTCGGGACCGAATCCTGTACATTCTTGCGCACGATCAAGAAATAGCTTTTAATGAGCCGCTCTAAAAAAATATCGATGCTTAAAAAAGAAGCAGGGCTCACCAATGATCTCGCAATCGCGCTGCTCCTTCGGTGTCAGCTTGCGGGCCGGCGTCTTCTCGGGCACCTCAGGCAAAAGGTTGACCGGACGGCGAGGTGTACCAGCTAAAAAGTTGTTTTAATCCCTTCGAATCAGATTTGAAGCGGAATGAGGAAAACACTTACGCTGAGCTTCATCCGGCGACGGACGCTGATTGTTGAATAGCACCGAAAAGAGGCCCCGCTGTGGCGCTTGCTGCTGGGCTTGGCTGGCGGTAGTCACAATGTCCCGAGCCAACTAGACACAATGTATACGAAAGGGGTATTAACCGATAAAACCTGGAGGTCGTCACTGCCGCGCTGTGGAAGTCTGGCTTGCTCCGATTGGCCGTTCATCTGAAAAATGACAGTATTCTCGGCATGGTTGATCTAACGACAAATCAAGCAAAGCCAACGCGAATTGCGAGTTCTGGGATAAAAGGAGCGATTCGGACAAAAGGCCAACGCAATCCTCTTGGGTTGAGAAAACAAGACATGCAGATTTGATAGCCAGTGCGCAAAACCCAAAGCAAGAAGCCAGGCGAGGCTGTTCCTCAGGCACACCTCATAGACAAAGTCGATGTTGGAGAAGTGAACGGATCGAGCATCCGGGCGGCTGGCTGATGCGGATTCTGGAGTCATCCGGGGCTGCACCGGATATCCCGGCCCAGCCGGGAGTCCACGATTTGAGCCCCCGGTATCGGAGCGCGTTCGTACCGGAAATAACAATCTTTTGGGGGCAGGCATTCATGGCTAGCGGGAAGCACATGCTGTTAGTGCAGGGACGGCAGCCTTGACAAAAATTTGCACCTACTCTCGAGAGAATTTCGTCTACATGACACAAAGGAAATAAACAGATTTTCCCACGGAAATAGTATTGCTGCTTATGGCGAAAAGTTTCTATAACTTGAGCATGATATTGAGAATTTCGAATTCCTTGACAAAATTCTTAAGCAAAATAGTTTTACTATCCAGAGCCGAAAATTATTACCAGCGTCGTTTTCTTGGCAAGCGCTTTGAGAAGGTTAATTAGAAACGAGGAGGGGCGCGGGGTGAGGACGATACGTTCTTCAGGCAGTGCCTAGGAAGGCCAAAGTCAAAAACATTCAGCATCAACAACAGTCAACAAACAGGCATCGGGAGGCGAAAGGCAAGAGGCGTGTAATATCCGAGAAATTCCATGCCAATGATACCTGTGGCTCATGGGCGCTGGCTCCGCGGTCGATGGCGGCGTTGCGCTGTCGATTTCGGGCTTCGCGTCCGGCCGCATCATCGATGATCGAATCCTGCAAAATTTATTTTAATGCAAAGCTTGGTACAAAGACAATCGCATTTATTGCCCAACATCAGGAATTCCCCAGCCCTTGATAAAAAGCAATGCCAACATCAACCAATCGAACAAGAGATTCCACACATGCCTAGGAGGACAGAACTGTCGGTTCATTTATTTATCTTCATTCCCCAAAAATGAAACTAGGGGTGCAATAAACCCCCCGTGCCCGCTAGACCAAACACGCACGGCAGCTCTATCCACAAAAGTCCAGTCTTCCTTCTCGTAAATTCTCATCCCCGCATGCAATTCCGCATTTTCTGGGAGCCGCCGTTGACTAGCCGAGCGGTCTGCATCCTCAAATCACTGCATTTCGCAACCGTTCATTTCTCCCAGGTTCGTCAAATGACTGGTTGGGCAATCACGAACAAAAACCAATGCCGGGGAAACGACAAATAGCTCGTGCGAATCGGATGCTAACCTTGATTAAGGCGACGAGGTTGGCATCGGTGAATTCAGGGTGGCGCGTGTTGATGTAGGCCAGCTCGATCGCTACCAGGTTTTCCACCTAAATCAAATAAAATTCAATAGGATGGCTGCAGCTTGCCAGCTCATTCGTAGGCTTCAGGCGGCTCTTCAACACGAGGGCGACGACATCCTTGATACGTTCGAAAAGGCGAGGGAAGCGAGCCATCTCTTGCTAAAAAATTTTTACTGGTCGTGACTAGAACATCCTCAGTGGCTAAAAGATGCCAGTGTCGAAATAATAACCTGAATCTCATTTCCGCAATGTTGTACGATCCTCTGCAGCTCTTCGTGGACGAGGTCAACACATCTAAAACATACTTGCAACTAACATTTTTAAGGCTACCGAAGGGAAGGATCCTCAAGCCGCTGAATCTGCCGCTTCACCAGCAACTCGAACGACACCTCCGGCACGAAAAGAGCAGGACGTGGACCCTAATCAATGTTTTTTTCACAAAAACTAGATTACCGTAGCATTACGAATGGCTGTTAGAATATCCAATGTGTTGAGATTGCCAAGCGGGTCGATCGAGTCCAGGGTTTTCGCAAACGTCTCATGGAAGATGTAGCAAATCCTGGCGCCACCGCAACTAATAAAAACGATGAGTAAAACATTCGTTAGCTCACAGTTCGGCGGTCTCAATGTTTCGGGCAGTGCCTTCAATTGTGGAGGTGTAGGCGGTAGAGAACCTGAAGACGAAAATTTTCTAGGAGAATAAGCACTACCTGGTGATAATTTGCAACAACATTCTATTCTTGTCCTCGACTGGCTCGCCATACGTATTGAGTAGTGTCTGACACTGGGAGATCAGGACACCCACGCGGTTTTTCAACGAGGGAAGGCATTCGCGGATGTGGTGCATCAAGAGCTAAAGGAGGATAAATGAAGCCGACAAGCTAAAAATACCCGATTGAGTGTCTTGGCCAAGTAGCGGGTCCCTTGTCTTGAAGCAAGGGTTGGGTACTTGCGAGCGAGGAAGGACTCTTCGTCGCGTAACGCATCTTCGATTGGCTTTTTAGCTTTGATGTCAGCCTGAAGGAACGAATTAATAAAAGCGAGTGTTGTTCTCATCTAGATTAAAGAGCTAAACAAACCTGAGATCGATTGACGACTCCAATAATGCCGAGCTTCACGTGAACCAACTGGCCAGTCAACACATCGAGCGCATCCGTCCCGTGGTCCATCAAGTCAAGCTTCGTCAGTACCGCCAACGTTCTTGCCCCTAAATACTGTCCTTCTAGAGCATGGAACAGCCGGCTACCTTCATAATCGACGTCACGCGACATCTTCAGCGGCTCCGAAGTAGCGAAATCTTGATTTGCAGGCGTCACGGCCAAGATGATCGAGTTCGGATTCGTGATGTAATACATTATCATGTCACGGATTTGCTCCTAATAAAATAATTATATCAAACTCTTGGACTCTAACCTCAATATTCGTAGGCTGATCCCCGACGGGAACTTTTGTCATACCCGGCAGATCCACGAGTGTCAAGTTAACCACGCGGTGCGAGAAAATCTTCAGCGAAATTGGCAAGTTGGATATCCCCTGAAAAACGACAATTAGCGGGGAATGAGCAACATACCTTATTGCTACCCGTAAGGCGGTCGGTTTCCTCCTCTATCTCTTTTCGCACTAATTCGAAGTCTTCGAATGTGCGATCTCCGGTGTGCTCGAAGCGGGCCCAATCATCTAAAAGAGCATTAAAAACCCGGAAGTTTTCTTAACCTTTCTGCCCCTGCCTGCTCGCCTTATCGTCAAGAGGGACATGGCAAAGCTGGAGAAGAAGCGGCCGTCTTGTAACTATCCCGGTACCTCGCGGAAGAAAATCTCGGCCAACGATTGCTTCTATCACAGAACTTTTTCCGGAGCTCTAAATTAGAGCATTATAAAGCCGACGTAACTCGAAACATACCTGTGCACCGACGACCACAATTTGTGGCAGCTGAATCTCCGCCTCCCTCGAGCCTACAGCCGAGAAAACGTCCTGGAGCTTGTTGATCGTCGGTATCAGCGACTCCATCTGTAATTTATATTTGTTTCAAGATCACGCAAAAAGACACGTTTCAGCAATGGAGAAAGAACAGATCGAGAAACGGGTGAGCCAGGTAAATACAGATCAATGAATTATGCATTCTGTTTTTGTTTGCGCTGGGCCATCAGTTTGTCGAGCTCCTGCTTCAGCTTTTGGGAGAATTCGGATTCGTTGGTCTCGTCGTCCCAGTTGTCCTCCCACACGTTCACGTCTTCCTCCTCGCCCTTCTCTGGCCAGTCGAGCACGGGGAACTCCTCGAATTCGACGTCATCCACGGCAGCCTTCGTCACCTTCTTGACATCGATTTTCGTCTCCTTCTTGTCAGTCATCGTGTTTGCAGTCTGGAATTGGTTTTATAAGCGGGGGGGTTATTGAGGGGAAGTTTTGCGAAACAAAAATTGCTGTGGTGAGAGCAGAGGCGGAGAAGAGACAGATGGCATAAAAGGAAAGGGCGTCTCGCTTCTCCTGTGCGGTTATCAACAAGAAAATTATGATTCAACAAATTTCGCAAGTGATTTTGTCATGTAGCCCTCAATGTTCGAACCATCAGCCACACTCCCTCAATTTTCCTATCAACGCACAAAAAGGTCGCGTCAACTGGAGGGATTCGGAATTAAATCAAATGAAAAGTGAGGCAGCGCCAAATTCATTTTTGTAAGTGAAATAGTCGTCAAGTGGCCCTTTCTACGATGGCTGATGATCATGGCGGCATATGTGCTGAATTGCGAAAACTGACTGACCGGCTTTCTGCAGGCGAAAATGTGATTGACGAGATTTTAAGGCGAGCGGCATTTTCGAAAATTATACTCTGAACCGCAATTGGCAACAATACAATAAGGGTAATTTAGACACAGTTCCGCCGTCTGTTCCGATTGCATAGTGCTCAAGGTGAATCAACGACGGAAAGGGCAAGAATGGCTGTACCCTGACGGACCTCCGCCTTGGATCGGTGATCAAGCCCTCGCCGACTTACATGCTGTTTAGTTGAGCAAAATGAGCGCGAAGCTGAGGCAAATCGTTTGGCCGCCATTGCTCAAAAGTTGGAAGCTCGTCCCAAGAAGGAAATGACAGGTCTGAACGCCACTTGTCTTGTTATATAATTTTCAGGGGGTCGCGGTATACCGGAGGGGATGACCCCGCATGAATATATCGAAAAGCTTGTTCGTGACAAAGAAATGCCGTTGGGAGTGCTGACCAACGAAGCTCGTATTCGTCTCGGATTGGAAAAGTAAAAATCGTATTTTCGGAATTGACGAGATTACAGGCATCAAGCGTTGCTTGTCGTGAAGGACCTGATGACTAAAATCCATGGAAGCAAGCGGGAGCACGCCAAGACTTCACAGGGCAATGAGACTGGCGGAACGGATGTATCTCCTCAAAAGGTACCTTGGTAATATATACGGATTCCGCGGATATTTAGACCAAGAAATGGGACATGCCCTGGGCTCCACCTTTGGCGGAGGTCTTTTGCCCGGAACAGTTGTCAATGATGCAATCTCTTCAACAGAAGCGGTACTTTTTAAGGAGTTTTTCGTTTATGATGGTTGCAGCTACATTGCGACGCTGACCAACCTGCAGGGAGAGAAGAGTGCATTTATACACAAAGATAATGCCAATGAGCTCAAGGTTTGGCGCTCTTGTGAGCAGTCATATTGTTTAGGCTTGGGACAAGGAATTGAGCGCGGAACGTGAAATGTTCCAACAGGAGGTGTTGACTCTTGGGCAAAAAGCGCAAGCAAGCTATCAGGACTTGACATTCTGGTGTTTGGCCGCCGCTCGGGATTTCGTTTTGGTATGGGGCTTGTTGGATTCGAATTTGCTGATTTTTTTAGTCACGCTGGATGAACCGGTTGGATGACCTCACAAGGCGATATACCGGCTCATCTTACTTTTTGACGAAGCCGGTATTCGAGGTATTTTTGATTTATTTATTTTATTAAAAGGCATTCAGCTCGCCTGGCCCCCAGATGCACCCATGGGTTTCGACAACAATTCAAAGCCGCTTATGGAGGCAGTTGTCGCGAAATCGTGCCGCAGGTCTCACCTCAAGGTTTTTAACTCCTTTTTCAACTGTCAACTTTCCTTTTAGATCCCTTCCATGAAAACGCGACAAGAGGTGCAGTTCAAGTGCGAGGATTTGACGGCTCGCTTTGGATCCAATGGCCAAGAGGAACCCTCCTTGAGACCTCCGATTTTTGATGCAAAGGTCCGTGTGCCACATCCAAAGACTTGACTTGACGGTTTCAGGATTTGGAAAGCCATTTGTCGCCTAACGGGACAACGATCGTCATGGAAGCTTCGGCGGTTCTTGCGCTTTGCGTTGACGAGTGGTCGGCATACCCTGGAGAATGGGCTATCCCCGTGCAGGTGTCCGACAAATTTGGCAAAGAAGGTACTGTGCTGGTCATTTTTAATCCAATCCCGCCTATTCTCAGGTGTCCAACGAAGTTGCGTCGTCGGAAAGCCGATTCCGACCGGCAATGCGACGAAACCGATGGTGGTTCGCGCGTTTTATAAATGGATGGTGCGTGCGAAATACGTGCGCTACATCGAGAACTCTAATCTGGCCCCTTCAACCCGGCGTTTTCTGAAGAAGAAGCAAGAGAGGATGCAGAAATCCGAGGCGCCGCCTGCTCCGCCACAAGTAAGCAAACGTTTTTCTTGGTGTACCTTTTTGAACGTGAGGCCACTCCGGCGGAGCCTGGTCCTTCGGAGACTCCATCTGCCACGGTACACGACGATGATGACACGGGCGGGGCATTGCAAATTTGTGTCGAAGAAGAGGAGGTGGAGGAAATCGCTATGGAAGAAGCCCAGGAGCCACCAGTGATAAAGGCTGAAACTTCAATGGGAACATCGGCTAATAATTCGCAAGGACCGAAGCATTCGACTAGGTGAGGTTATGAGTCTTCAGTTAAAAGTTTTAGTGTTGGCGACTTCGACTTTCTGGAGTGTCTACTCGACCAAGCAGCCAAAGTTCAAGGCGTCCAAGCGGCTGTATCAGAATCGCAATATGCCCGCGTGAGATTTGGCCAAGGAGCGATGCCGATCTTGGTAACCTGGGTCGAAATTGTCAGATTCTGATTTTAGGTCCGCTCGGGTGGCGGTAATGAGGAGCACGGAGCAGACAAATCCATCACCTATGATGTGAAAATCGAATATTTTCCACAGTGTGGTGCCATGGTATTTGCCGCCCTATCGCTTATTAAACAAACCTTATTCAGGCCCTGAGCGACGAGGAATGGCTCTTCCATTATTTCAAGCATTTGATAACTGGCTCCCAGCGACACGTTTTGTTTAGGATCCATCCAAGGTAAATCTGTAGCGCAAAAATCTATGCATGTTTATAATTTCAGTCAGTACACAATCGTAGGACTGGAGCATCTCTTTCCGATATCGCATGGCTATGTGGCCGACGAACGACAAGCCTTGTATGTGACGTCAAATCTTTTTTATGACATTTTAGGGTCGCGGCGAGGTCAACTCGGATGAAAGGTTTAATTGACGAGCTGCATTCGCTTTCGGAGGGCAATTACGTGTTGACGAAGAAAAACGGGCAACTATCACTCTATATGAATTCTGGACCGGATGTCAAGGAAACATTCGACCTGAACGGCCTGGTGCCCAAGATACATTTCGATTTTCACCACCAGTCGCACCTCAGCGAGATATATACAAGCATTGATCCGCACCGTTATCTCCAGGTTCGTAACTTTGCGTACACCAGAATTTACATTTAGTGGCAACTCGTGATGGGGAGGGCTCCTTGCACCTTTCTGCCGCCCGATCATCCGTCGACAAAAAAGCTGCAGTCCCATGCCAAGAGAATGAAATATGATAAAAAGGCGAGGCCCGCTGTCAGTCAAGGTTTGCCCAGCAGTGCTTTTGATAAGCCGATGTAGGAGCTGTCGTGAAGGATGAAGCGGAAAGTTCCGATGGAGAGATCAAAGATGATGAAGAGTGGAACCCCTCCAGAAAGTATCCGGCCGCCGCGCGAGGGCGGGGAAGGGGCGGTCGAAGGGGGAGGGGACGAAGCAGGGGCCGAGGACGCGGTGCGGGAAGAGGCCAAAACTGATCATTTTGTTCCACCGGGTAATTTTGTTGATGCTATAATTTGTTATGTTGTTGATAAAATATATTTCTTTAGTGTTGGAAGGGGCACGGTGATAAAATAACTTCATTTTATGAAAATGACAATCGGAGATAACGGGGGTCCCGCAGAAACCGGTACAGCGGCAAAGTGGGATCACAAGTGACTATAGTTTAACACCGACAGAGTTATCAGCTCATAAAAAGAGACAGAGAGCATTTTAAAGGCAGATTAGAGGAACAACGTGATAATAGAGATAACGGTTCAACAACAGGGAGATTAGCCCCAAACATGACCCGCGCGAGTTGGCCGTTGTGGATGGTGATTGTGTCCCCTTCACTTGGACTCGGCGGCGGGCGCAGCGTCTTCCTTCTTTCCGGCAGGGGCCTTCTTCTTCTTGGGCTTGAGAGCAGAGTTGAGCGTCTGCAAATGGAATAATAGTAAGTGACAAACAACAAGTGCCACTGGAGATACTCTTCCCATAACCACTCACTTTCAACAATGCCTCATCTTCGAGCTTGCAGGTTGGGGCCAGCGTGTCAACATCCAAGGGCAGTCCAGTGATCTTGACGAGTCCGTTCGGCATCACCATAACAGTCGACTTGAACTGCGCGACAATTTCCTCCTCCTTCTCGTAGAGCACCTAAAATCCTGTTTGTAATAGCACTCGGAATGCCTACATGGTATGGACGGAGAATTCCGTGCCTTTCGCACTCGACGACTCCCATCTTGGCCTTGACCTCATCCTCGAAAGAGCGCAGCGTAAATGGCATCAGCCCGTGCTTGGTGACGACTTCGTTGAAGAAAGTTCGCGATGCCTTCATCTTCAAACTGTATTGAATGTCCTCGCGCTTGAAGACGGTGGTGCGAGTGTCCATGTCTCGCGTCTTACCTAGATTTACCAGTTGAGGGAGGAGCTCTGAACCATACCTGGGCCCGTTGAGAAGAGGACGTCAATGGCGTAAACCTCGTGCTTGTCAATCACACACTTTTCCATTTCGGAGCGCTGCTTGTCGCCCGGATTTTGGATAATCGTCTTTTCGCCATCTACATGGTTGCGCTCCAGTGAATGGGAAACCATGTTCTCGATAGGCTTGACGCCATAGGCTGCGGCAGTCTAAAAAAACAAAATTATCGAAATACCGATGCCGATGAACCATCCGTGAACGGCATATGGCCTAAAACCGCACCTTGTCAATAGCCGCAGTAATATCCATATTCTTGGTCTCAGGCCGGAGCATTCGGATGGCAATTTCCATAGCTTCGTAGGCAGCCTTGATCACATCCGCCTTCTTTCCGGAAACCTTGGAATCCTGCGAGCATTGATTTGATTGATTCAAAGCCGGAAAGCTAACCTTTGTGGCCCCAACAACGACGGTATGAGCAGCGGTGGCGACGTAGCCGTCGATATGGGCACCGAGATCTACTTTGACGACGCTTCCTTCCTTCAGAACAACCGGAGGATCGGAACGAAGTGGAGAGAAGTGGCAGATGCAATTGTCGACAGAAACGCAAGTTGGCATCGCGATTCCCTATCAAAAAATGTTACGGAAAAAGGTGAAAAATACCTTTTGAACATTTTTGTCCTTCTTATACATTTTGTCGGTCTTCTCTTTCAAAAGTTTGTCGCCGAGATCGCACAGTGTTGCGACTTCGATACCTTCCTTCACATTGGCAAGCACCTCCTGAATTTCATAAATTGGTGACAAAACGACAACGAACCTTGAGGACGGAGTTGACGATATCGGCAGCGGCACCATACTTCGAGACGACGATGTCGCTTGCGATAGTTTCAATGGTTTCTTCGCCTTCGCTTCCAGACGAGGAAGAGACGCTGTCTTTACGCGGCATCTGCAATGAGAACATTCTAGAAAGAACAAAGAAAAAGTTGAGGAAAACCAGTTAAAATAGTCTATGACGCTCGCAGAGCTCTGAAAATAATTCGTGTTTTCGGGCGTCGAAAAGCGGACGACCGAGAGGTTGTTGTCAACCAGGAAACGAGCCGGGAAAAACGTGAATTTGCCCGCCAAGACCTTCTGTTTGTGAAATAAAAAGGACAAGAGAGAGAGGGGCTAGTTCGCGGCGGGACACGGAGGGCGGCTGTTTAAATTGGGGGTAGGGTGGGTTCTTGAAAAGTTTGGCCAAGGTGAAGCCTAATAGTGTGAAAATGTTTGTGGATTTGAGATTGCGAAAAGCACGCTGAACGGGACGTGAAAAATTCTGAACAAAAAAAGCTTGCGGGACGTGAAAATCGCGACGAGTACTCGTCGATAGGCGTGCTTTGTCGCCGAGGTTTGGCGCGATCTGGGGGTCAAGCTCGCTGCTTTGCCCTGAAACTTGGAGAATCAGACGGTATAAAAATAGGTTGAAAAATAGCTCAAGCTAATCGGCCTAGAAGGCTTTACAGATCCGAGAACCTTGGTTCGAACCAACCTTTGATCAAAGGCAACATGCGGCATGGAGAAAGTTATCATCACAAAAAGAAGAACAAATAAAAAGCTTCAAAGCGGAATTCAAAGAATTGAAAAAAATTGAAATGGCATCGGAAAGAAACAAAAATCAAAAGTCAGAAAGGAAAAGCGGATTGGTAGTATTTGATGCCAAAATCATGTGGACCATGTCAAGTGTAGGCCAGTTACCATGGTTACTCACATTAGGAGGAAAGCGTCCGCAACCCAAGATACTTACTCTGAAGCTGACAATGAACTTGACAACGGTATTCAGCTATTCACTCGACAGTCATCTTGTCCCAAGATGCGTTGTGATGGGTGTCCTCGAGCCGGGCGGCGAGTCGACCCTTATCGCCGTCACCACTGCGAATAAGATCCTCATCAAAAGTTGTTTTATCTCATTGAATGGTGCATATCTTTTCTAGACACTGAAAGCCAGCTGAACTTTCCGGAAAAGATCAACACCATCGCGACGGCACGATTTGGGAATGGCTACGACGTGCTGGTGATTGGGACGGCTTCTCAAGTAATCGGGTGGCCACTGGGTTGATTGCTTTAGGTCCTCTGCTATGATACGCATCAAAATACGACTGTTTTCCAGCGCGATGTTCCGGATGGGATCAATTGTATAGTGGTGGGTTGAGTTTCGGGCTACTAGAACTTTTGGTGCTTTCCCATGATCGGTGGGGGACTAATTTTTTTCTTCCGAATCCAGGAAAGTCTAGTAGCCTAAGATCACGTATTTTAATAGTCATTTTAGTCTCAACAACTTAGAAGAAATTTAATAACATTTTTGTCGAAAATGACATTTTTTGGTCGAAAAATCGATAATTTTTTGTAAGTTTTTGACGTTTGGGATCGTAAAAACTAGTTTATAAACGCTTCATTTATTCATATTAGGAAAATACGGTCCGTCAGAAAAATGAAAAACCCCGGATAAGGCGAAATAACAAGATTTTTAAACGATTCCAGGTGGGCCAAATGGGCGGCTTCGAGGAGGTGATCATCTGCGGTGGCTACTGTGCAATTTGGGGGTTTGATAGAGCGGGTAGGGACGCTTTTTGGACTGTTACCGGCGACTCGGTGACGGCCATGTGTCTGGTTGATTATGATGCGGATGGGCAGATGGAGGTACAAGGGCTCTAATATCATTCGGTGATCCAAATCCTCAGTTAATCGTTGGCTCGGCCGACTACGAGATTCGGATCTTCAAAAACGATTTGATGCGCTGCGAGTTGATGGAAACGGATGCGATCGTGTGGCTTTCGGCAATTGGAGGGTATCGTTTTCGGTGTTTCTACCAATGGGGCGTTTCAGACAGCGCTTCGTCTACGGGCTCGCAAACGGTACACTCGGAATCTACGAGGGTGAGGGCCGGTTGTGGCGAATCAAGTCGAAACATATCATCGCCGCTGTGCTGCCGTTCCCATCGGAAGAGTATATAGCGTGCATCTGGGATAGCGGCAAGGTATTGGGCCAGTATTCGATGTCAAAGCAATCCATAAATGTTTAATATTTAAGAAAAACATTTTTATATTTTGGGTCGACATCCGAGCAGGAGGTTCGGGCGAGGTGATGAGCAAAGAGTTTGTCAACGGAGCGGTTGCCGGCGCGGTCAGATGTCCTGAACGAGAAAACGAACCTCCCCAGATGACAGTGGCGCTCATTGATGGGAAAGGTAAGGAAGCTTGTAAGCAGCAAGCAGCTTTTTCAAGTGCGAACCTTCGAGGTGGCGCAACATCGTGATCCAATGGAGGAGGCACAGCAGCTGTTGAGGGAATATGGGCAGCAAAAGCATAACTTACTAGTGAGTACATATTGAGAAAGCTGCTAGAGGGCTGTCTTTTCAGATGGAGCTGAGCAACTACGAGCACGAGGAGAACATGTCGAAGGAGGAGAAGGAGAGTGAGAATCGAATCCCGGTAGGCGGTAGATGCCTGGAAAAGGAAATATGGAGCATTCAGGCCAATACCCAACTTGAAACAGTACCACGAATCAACCGGACAAAGGGTACAGTGGAGATGTGGTTGAATGCTTCGAATGAGGTGCCAATCCAAGGAGTTGTCATGTTCGCTGAAGGGCTATTTGCTGGGGAGAGCCAGGCGATGTGAGTTCGGAAATTGAGGTGATATATTTTTAGTTTTCCACGTGCGGACCCATCTTCGACCGTCGTTGTGGACTTGGCGCCATATAAAGACGCGGCTGTAGATGTTCATATCAAAGCCTTTCTAGCGTTTAACAATAGGTAAATGATCACAGCGTGGTATAGCTTTTTTTAGCAATCAACTCCACGTATTTGAAGTGACCCGATCGCTGCCTCGATTCTCGCGATTCGCGCTGATTCCCGGTTTGTCTGTCGAACACGGCCGTTCAGAGCGTGCACGAGCTTTAAAAGCTATAGAAAACGCTTCCAACACTTCATGATATAAAAGTTTTTTTACGAAATTGTGGGGAATTTTTTGCTTTATCGAACTAGAGCGGCGATTTTCGAAATATGACCCAGGGGAAAAGTTATCAGCAAAAAAGGAGAAATCCTTAACATTTCAATGGCTGGTTTCTTAACGCTATAGAAAACTCTGTCAGCCGCTATTCCTCTAAGTTTTTTATACTAAAATGTGCAGAATTTTTTTCTCTATCGAACTAGAGCGGCGATTTTCAAAATACGCTCAGGGGGGAAAGTTATGAGCTAAAGAAGAGCGGCGCTCTTAACATTTTTGGGGAGTGGGGGAAGCCCCTCTCATGCGCGCCTTCCCATACATCTGAACGGCCGTGCGAAATTTGATCAATTTTGGTTCGATTAGCCGAGGAGACAATTCCGGACCAAGTCGGCTTCGTCGAGTTCAAGCTGGTGCAGCGTGTGCCGAAGGTTGTCGACTGGATGTATGAGAACTTCATCATCTCCGACGAGTTTAGCTATCTGGAAAATGAGCCGGAGCGGCTGGATTTGAAGTGGGCTTCCGGTTATCGGAGGGTTACAACAAGGTCATGTTCAGATTCGTGAGCCTGCAGCCAAAGTTGGGCACCGCCCTCCGGTTGATATACGATAGTGCACAGCAGACTGTGAGTTAAATAACAAATTTCTCCATGAAGCACTCCAGTTCCGGATCGAGCACTCGGAAATGGAGACCGCCGGCGCTATCATACAGTCGTTGGCAGATTATTTTCAGGTTATACACAAACCGGATCTTTTAAAAGAAACAATTTCAGCTCCCAAATTTGACTTCGCACGCCGTATTTCCAACCGAATTCGGCGAGTTATCCTCTATCATGGGTGAGGTGAGGGCCTTAACATATAAAAGGGTTATTTACTAGTCTGGGCGATAAAAAATATTCCGATTAAGCTCGAAGCAATCTATGAGGCGAAAGAGAAGCTGAGTGCCGAGCTGAGTGAGGCACAGAGTATTGTCAAGGAGACGCTGGTCAGGGCGGAAGATGCCCTTCACTGCGACCATGTGTAAGAATGAGATAACTTTGAAAATAATTAGGAATTTCCAATATTAAAAAGTAAATATTTCAGCGCGGACTGTCGTCGTTACTATGTTCGAGTGCGGAATAACGATCGAGCGATGCGACAGGCGAATCAGGTGAGAGCGAGAGAGCGAGAGAAAGAGAGAGAGAGAGAGAGAGAGAGAGAGAGAGAGAGAGAGAGAGAAGTCCAAGATGACAAGCTCGCGAACAACTCCAATATTTCAGTTACGCATGGCCAATCAGGATCGCCTGGTCGCCATCCTACGCCGTCTGAATAAGCTCGTTGAGCTGGCGGCCAAGCTACGAGGTTTCGCTTGAACCGGCAAATGCTATTTTCGACAGTCCATGCCAAAAAGCAAAAGTGCTGTCATCCGCAGGATTCGAAACTGCGCCCTCCGAAGAGGACTGCGACCTGAACGCAGCGCCTTAGACCACTCGGCCAGAATGACTTGTGGGGATGGGGCGGCGCGGGGCCCTATCTCCCCTGTGTGCCGACTTGGGTGGCCAAGCGGGCTGCCAGCGGGGCCGATTTTGCACGCATTCGTTCCCCAATAATCACTGCTAGAACGTCCACATCCCTTATAATAATTGTTACATCTTTTAGTCGGGGAAGCATCGCGCCAGGTGATCACACTATGCCGACAGGCGCTCAACGACGAGAACGAGACGATCATGTCGAAGCTGTTCGAGTTTGGGGCTTGAAATCGATCGCGTGTAGTGTATCAAGCATGGTATATAAATAAAATTATTATTATTGAGTCCCGTTTGTGCGCATAGATACAGACAAGACGGCGGAGACATGCCTTTCGAGTCGTTATGAAGCCGGGATGCCGGCGTGGTGGCAGTGCAGCATTTGCGGCATGGCGGAGGAGCAGCTGAGATGCTGGATACCCGGGTGAATAGGGCCGGCATTGCAGAAGGCAAGGCAATGCTCGCCGCTGAAATTAATTTTCGAGTTATTTAAATAGATCGGAGAAAAATATGAGAAACGGGCATTGTAATGGCTTTTTCTGTTAAATACCCCTGTTATTCTACAGTTTTAAAATCAGATCACAAGAATCGCAAGCCATTTAAGACGAGGTATGTTTCATTGATTAAAAAAATTAAATACCTGAGGTATTACTAAAAGAAGGCTCTGCTTCGTTTCACAACACCCACCCCCCCCGCCCACCGCTCCTACACAGACGACTCCCAGCTTTGTATCTCAGAACCCCATTGATCTAAAGGGCTGTGATGTTGACCAAAATACTCGTCAAGTCAAGACGAACATTTTGGTATACATTACAGCCCCCTAGGACGAATGGAACCGACACATGGCCCTTAAAACCCACCCAGTAGCATGGACGCCCATAGCCCGGCAACACTGTCGATTGTCATTGCCCTGACTGGCGCATTCGAGAAAAGGAGCAACGTGTAGGAAACCACACTCCCCCCGATCCAATGCTCCTTTCACCTAAGACCGGAAGTGATCGACTTCAAGAAAGCCCACCTCAACCTGCGTCACATCATACCGTGCCAATTTCTGGCACCCGGGCGGCAATCCCTTGGCCACGACGCATTGCAACAATTTCTCAGAAGCCCGGGCCACTGTCAAGCACGGCTTATAGTCCGGAGCTTGACCGCATGGCTAGAGGAGAGTTTTGTAGAGCTACGCAAAAGCCGTACCGTCGCTTCGATTTTTGGTTCGATAGCGGAGATGGAGTTGTTGATGGCGGGTGGTTGGTGACGGACCATTTTGAAGGAGAAACTGCCTGGAGAAGTTGCTGCGTTCTTTTAGAGGACCGTAGCCTACCTTCCGGTGCGACTGTCCGTGTTGGGGTTGACGTGCTGGTTTCGACAGAGCCGAGAAGACCCTGCAATGGGTTATTTTGCAGAAAGCAACTCGCCTCCGTGTACTTCAAGCCCGGCTCAGTTTTTCCGACGCTCTTGCGCTTCGACTTGGCAATTGCATGAGCGGATGCCGGGACAGAAGAAGCCATGCCACCCGGAAGACTGGCCAGCATCTTCTCGATCAATGGCTCGAAAGCTGGAAGAAGTTGTGGCGAGGAATTACGCCTAACCACTAGAAATGCTCGGCATATCGGCTGGTAGTATTTTTTTGGTGGTGGTGGTCGGTTGGGGCGTCTAATTGAGAAGGTATAATAAAAATTTACGGCTTCAGGCGTACCGTAACCGAGGCCAATGTGGTTGTTGTGAGGAGAGCTTGAGCCCGCGATGGAGCCGGAACTTTGGGGAATTCGGTTGGGGGTTGGAAAAAGCTGGAAATGGGGGGTTACAAGGCTTGAGGCTACTCTCTCTCTCTCTCTCTCTCTCTCTCTCTCTCTCTCTCGCTCTCTCTCGCTATTTCTCTCTCTCTGTCAGTGTCACTCTCTCTATCAATCTCTCTCTCTCTCTCTCTCTCTCTCTCTCTCTCTTTCTCTCTGGCTCTTCCAAAACCAGCACCTAAATGTCTGCGGCGTCTCCATGGTAAATCCCGGAAATACCGGCCACGAAATGGTCGGCAGTGTGAATTGCGGCAAATTGGTGACCGGCGAGATGGGTGTTTGCTAAAATACAACCCAATGCCAAAACCACATCTCGTTTACCGTAATCATCTCAAATGGCAGTGGGGCTACGGTAGTTGATGGCGGTCTGAAAGCATTGTTGGTGTATTTTACCATCGAAACACGCCGTTAATCTTTACAATTTATTAGGCACCCTGAGTATACGGTACAACATTGACATCGTGAGTTTATGGGGGGGACACGGGGATTTATGGAACAAATACGCGGAACAACCCGGAACACTGTTACCGTAACCCGACGAGGAAAGGTAGGGGGGTTCGTTTGGGAGGGATTAAAGGGACCGACAAGTTAAAAGAGGTCAGGACGAGAGGTCCCTTTAAACCTCAAAAATCGACAAAATGTGCATACACGGAGATCCACAAGAATTGTGCAAGAAATTGGGACGGATTAGGAAAGACTTCAGGCCGAGGATCGATTACGCGTTGGACATCAAGGGTAAATTGTATACACACGTAGCATAAAAGGCAATAGAGGCAGATTAGAGGTACGGCAATTAAAGGGACCAGGAAGAGCGATAATCGGCCTCTTCTTCGACTGGGCATCGACAGTTAATCTTGTTTTTGTAATATGATGGCAGTTAAGCGCCATAAGGAATCCACAAAAGAAAATCGATAGTCATGCCTTACAGGTCCCTTGAACCTTCATTAATTACCACCCTCGAAAACCCAATAAAAAGCGACAGAAAACGCCTATGTACACCCCGGATGAACCGGAATTCACCAATGGAATATGGTCATTTGTTCGTCACTCAGCACGTGCTTTTTCTTCTTGACAATACGACGCCGACGATTTCTGGGCTGTATGCGTATCCTCTTCGGCACTCTGGTGTGCATTCGGAAATCCGGGTTGGCCACTCGGGCCACTGGGCTATCCTGCACCTCGGCTACCGTATCCGATTGCCACATGGACAGTTGCCACGGGCTGAGCGTCGTCGGTTGGGGGGCTTTGTGGAATTTGCGTTGCATGGTCGGAGGGCTGAAATTTAAGCTTGGGTTAGGCGTGGAAAAAGGAAATTAGAGTGAGGAGGATGGACCGCAAAATTTTGAGGCAGAGTTAGGGAGGCAAGATATTAGGGGAGAAGGCACTTACAGTTCTGGCACCTGGGAACGATGGTGGAGCAGGAGATTTGGCCGCTCTTTCGGAACCTAGGAACTTTTTTAAAGGGCAAGAGCGATCAGCCGATTTCCCAAAAGGACCCTGCTAGCCTGCTTGCGCGGTGGAGTTGCATAAAACTCACGACAGCCGGCCCCTCCTCCTCGAGCTCGTTCTCATCAATATCGGTGATGAAGGCGAGTTCCTGGCCGGGTGGGGGGATGATGCGAGGGTCCGGAGTTACGCGGAGACGTGGCACCTGAGAGAGGTTTCTTGACAGTGCGAGAGAGAGAGAGAGAGAGAGAGAGATATCAATAGCTAGAAAACGACTGACTTTTGTCGCTACCGACTCCATGATGACTGGGGGGTTGGTAGATGTGGCCGATGGCACTTCGCCGAACTATAAGCTTTGCTGTTTGGTTTGCTATTAAAAGGTCTAAATTGATAATTTCGCAAATTGATCAGGTTACAGTTTAAATATGCCGAAATTTCAAGATATCGTGGGCTACCTTGAAAAATATCGACATATTGAACTTTCGACATTCTGAAATTCCGAAATTAGGAAAATAATCCATTTAAATCTATTCCGCCTAAGCACGAACCGTCCCCAAATGCGACACAACGTCTGGTGGCGGAGAAGCGGATGGTGGATGGGTCTCGTCTGGAACGACAGCCGGTACGAGCGTTGGGAATGAAGTGACAGCCTCGGCAGGTGTCATCCCGGCCGGAATATCCGGTCTAAAACGTGCACTGTCCACCACTACAGTACCCTCCTTCGGTTCTTCCTCGTCGGTGGAGAACACTAAAATGCACTTTTGTTTTCGAAAACATTCTTCATTTACTTCCACGGTAGAAGGATGGACCGCATTCCACCTCTGCACATAGGCCGGGACATGCTTTCTGAAAATCTCTTCATTTGCAGAAGCTCTTTTTCTCAAACGTAGACCGTTTCCTGGCGCCCTATAATGACAAGCAACCATTTTAATCGAATTTTTGAGCCCATCAAGCTGTAAAAAGGCCGCAAACAATTCAAAAATTCATGAAAATGGTGATTTTTTTGCTCAAAAATGAATGCAAAATAGTCAAAAGTTTTGTCATTTTATTAAAAAGGTTGCCATAACGTTGTGGTAAACGAAAACTACTGAAAACGACAATATTGCGTTTGTTTCGTACTGTGGGACCTTGGCAAAAGGAAATTAAGCGTTCCCCCCGCTAAGGAACAAGATCCTTAAAGAGTCCTCTCCCTTGAAAGCCATTCCGAAACTGACGCGTATCCTCGACGTGCAGCAAAATGCTGAATTTATCCGCAGGCAATCCAGCCGAGCGGCAAAAGTATCGATGGCAAGCGCCGACGGGAGAAATATTAATAATAATGGCGGGTATCTTCTTAACATTCCTGAAATAGTTATAGATGCAATAAATCGATAAATTATCATTAATAAGAATTAATTATAAGGGGACAGATGGTGAAGTTGGTGAGATGTAAATAGTCGATTTTCTGAAAATATGGACCAGAAGGTGGCTTTTTGGTGATCATCGAAGAGGGCTGTGGGAAAAAAGTGGACCTAGAAGTAGCTCAAAATACCGACAACCAGAATCCCGACATGCAAAATAGCTGTTTCAAAGGAAGTGGCATTCGAACAAGGAATATGTGATTTTGCTGTTGGGATTTTGCAATGTCGAGATTTTGGGTCTCGGGATTTGGTCGAAATTCTAAAAAACAGCCCCCCCCCCCCGCGCCGCCGCCCCCGGCCCCCTGGCCGCCCCGCCTGGCACTTGCGCGGGCCCCCCCCTCTTTACTAGGATATTTCTATTTTTATATTGGGGTTTGACTCCTCGGGGGCTAGCTCAGCCCCCCTCGAGTTGATCTGGCTCGGGGCGGCCAAATTTTAGAAAACTTCCGAATTCGAAACCCGAAAATTTGAAAACTTCGAAATTTTATCGCATAGGAAACGTTAAATTACAAAATAAATTAAATCTAGTTAAATTAGACAGAAAGCAAAATTCACGGTCAAGGTGATAACAAATCCAAAAAGATTTTAG